TTGAATCGCTTCGTCCTGATAAATTTATTCTTGCATTAATTAGTCAGTCTTTTACCGGATTAGATCAAAGAGAAAAATGGTATGGAACCGAATACAAAGTGGAACCTTTAAGCGATAAGCTTATACAGGTACGCCATAAATTTGGTCTTTTTTGGTCGATTGTTGGATTTAAATTCAAAATAATCATTGATAACATATAGGATTTGAAGAATATTAAACCACATGATGATTTGAAACTACCTCCACCCAATGAGTTTATTCCAACGAATTTTCAAACTCACAAGATCGAAGTTGCGACGGTAATAAACTTGAACTTGCCTTTTTACTTCATATGATCCTTATAATTCTATTAAGTCCAAACCCATATTAAATATTCTAAGCCTTCCAAGAGTCCAAATTTAATCAGAAATACCCAAATTTGTAGATTATGGCATAAAAAAGACGATACATTTTGGGTTCCAAAGGCAAGTGTAAATATAAAGTTAAGAAGGTATGCATCTTTTGTAAATTCTTTTGACTCTTTTTTTAAGAAAAAGAAAAAACAATAAGGATTAAATCCGAATCTCTTCATTGTAGCCCAATTGCATACATTACACCCTTGAACTGTGTTAAAACTCAGCTATTTATAGAATTACTGAAAGATGCTCTAAACGAATATTCGTATAACGCTGAAATTGCAGGCTTAAGTTATAGCCTTGATACTGAACAAGAAGGACTGTTATTATCGGTTGATGGTTATAATGACAAATTACAGGTTTTGTTGGAGAAAATCGTGATTAAAATGAAACATTTTGAAGTTGATCCCCAAAGGTTCTTATTAATCAAAGAGCAACTTCAGAGGTACTATAAAAATGCTCTATTCGATTCACCACATTATCATGCGATGTATTACCTATCATATGTGACGCAAGAAAAATTGTGGACAAACCAAGAAAAATTAGATGCATTACAGGAAATCAAATGTGAAGATATAGTAGTATTTTATCCCGAATTATTGAGCCAATTACATATTGAATCATTAATCCATGGGAATATTTTTGAAGATGATGCGATTTTAATGCTTCATAAAGTTGAGGAAATCCTTCAACCAAAAGCTCTCCAACCGTCACAAATAGTTGGCCAAAGATCTGTTTTGATTCCATCGGGAAAAAGTTATATTCATCAACGAGATGTTTTTGATTCAAATGAAGTTAATTCCGCCATTGAATATTATATTCAAGTTGGTGATTTATTGGATAAAGAATTAAGATCTAAATTAAGTTTATTATCTAAAATTGCTTATGAACCGTGTTTTGATCAATTAAGAACAAAGGAACAACTGGGTAAGTAAAGTATTACTAGTTTTCTTTTCCCTTGATGAAATTTTTTTTTTTTTTTTAATAATTTTATTTATTTTATTCCTTTAAAAACTTTAGGATATATCGTCTCGAGCGGATTAAGAAAACGAGCGAGATCTTTGGGATTTAGGGTGATAGTACAAAGCGTAAAGGATACGATTCATTTAGAAAATAGAATTGAATCCTTCTTGATGAAATTGCGGGTATGACTTTATTATTATTTATAATTATTATTAAATATGGTTAAAAAATTAATTTTTTTATTGTTATCTTACATTTAAACACATTTTCATTTTTTAGAGAGACATCGAAGAGATGCCCGAACAAGAATATCAACATCAGGTTCAAGCATTGATTTCAAAGAAATTGGAGAAACCCAAAAAGTTATTTCAAGAATCTAACAGATATTGGCCTCAAATTCTTTCCGGAAATTATGATTTCGAACAAGGTGAGATAATTGATTTTTAATATTAATATTATTTTTTCTTTTTTAAACAAACTTTATTTTAAAATTTTTTCTTTCAAAAAAAAATAAAATAAAATAAATTTTCAGCTGATACGGACGCAGAAGAATTACGTAAAATTACGAAACAAGATCTCTTAGAATTTTACGATAAATACATTAATCCAACTTCACAATCTTACAAAAAGCTTTCGGTACATTTAAGATCACAAAAAACATCGTCAAAGTCGCTTAAAAGACCGATTGATGTCAATCATCTTCATAAATGTTTATCCTCACATGGTCTCATTACAATAACAATACAAGATTTACAATCTTTTGTTAATTCTCAAACAACATCGGAATTGGATGGACCCGATCTAGAAATTTTATTAAAAAATGTGCTGATCGATCAAACCAAAGCCGATGAAAATGAAATCGAGGAATTGGCGAAAAAGCTCAGTAACACCTATCTAAATTGTGACACAAGTATCGTGGAAGAAGAGGTAAAGGAGGATAAAGAAAGAAAGTTGGAAGAATTAGAATTAAAATTAAAGGAAGGAAATGAAATGATTGATAATGTCATATCATGGAAAAATCAAATGAATTTAGGTCCTACACCTAAACCAGTTGTAACATTTTAACGATTAGATATGCAACATGTAGATGCTACGGAATTTAATATAAACTTATAAAGTAAATAATGATGCATTTAATAACAAAACATATATGTAACTAAAATAAATACTATTTAGCGAAATTTTTTCTCTGGTAACATCATATGCTTTTACATACAGATAAACAATAATTTATCCACCGATCTTGATTCGACTCTTCGGACTTGTTAACGGGTACGAATTTTTTAAATATTCCTCCCGTCGATTTCCGAAAAATTATCCATTCATGTTTTAGTATAGTTATACTGACTGTATTTGGTGTGGTGCATGTAAGAAAAAAAAAAAAAAGATTGCCAATAAAAAACCAATTAGTATGAATGCATGATCTGATATGGCAGCGGGGTAACAATTCGGGGTAACAATTTTCATTATCACCCCATTTTTTTTTTTGCAAATTAGCTTCCACTAGGAATAAAAGTAAAATGATGATGCCTAGAACTAAAATAAGATAGTCTCAATGAGCTAGTTTCATATTCATTCAGTTTTTTTTTTTTTTTAAAAAAAAAAGATGATGTTGATAAATGATTGGAGGATTGATTTAAACGCGAGTATTGTCTAATAAATTATATAGTTTTTTTGATCCTTTTTTCGTTTTCTTATTGATTTTCGCAAAATAAGGTTCTAACTTTAAATGCTGAATGGAAGTGGCCTAACCGTCTTGAGCCTAATTGATAATGAAAAAAAAGTCTGTGCACTAATTTTTTTTTTTGATCATCACATTTTAATATTTTTCAAATTTAGAAAGATTACCCGCAGCAAAACACAAAAGGGCCAAATTGATCAATAACAAACGGTCTCATTTTAATGGAATAAAAATTTTAAATGCTATTAAAATTGTAAAAAGCGATTTTTTTTTTTCGTCAGAGATCAAAGGGATGAATGGTTTTGAAACGTTCCAATATCCGAAATTGAAAAGTTTCAAACTTGGTCAAGAATTTTTAAATAACAATAAAAATAATAAAAATAATAATTAATTAACTAACTATTAATTAATAATTAATAATTAATAATTAATTAATTTTTGATTAATTGACATATAATAAATAATAAATAATAATGTAGAGAATTTAAATTTTCACCTATCTTCATTCGGAAGTATCGTATCTTACTAAGCGATGAATAAAAAATACGCTTGTTTGTTTGAAAAATTTTATTAGATGAAACCGATAAGGGTATTCGGGAAAAAAAGGGTTAGAAATCTATTGGAAGAAAAATATAATAATAATAATAACATAATAACATAACAATAATAAATGATCAAGGAAAGTATCACCAACGATTACGTAATTGGTACCGAATTATGAAACTATGCAACTTTAAAAATTAGTACAACCAAAAAATTTACCCACCCTCAGGAAAACCATTTATTTAAAAAAAGGTTGGAGATAACACGATTGTGGCATTTAACAATACCTTTTCCACGGTTATAAGGTTCCTTACCACGGAGCAATTATTTTTTTTTTAAAAAAAAAAAAAATTATTTAACTGTATCAATGGTGAAGATGTGCTTTTGGTGCAACCATAAATAATAAACGTGCCAACGATGGAAAAAAACCCTATCGTAAAATTGTCCTAACGCATTGTAATACATTAGATGTATAGAAATTTATAATTTTTTACTCAATGGAGGAAATCTTTTGTCCGGTAATTTACCGAAAATGAATTACGGGATTTGATTCGTCCCCAATTTTTTTTTTTTTTTCCTTCTAGTGAACGAACCTTTTTTTTAGAAAAAAAGCAAAGGATTTGCTCGTGAAATTCTGTTTAATTTGGTAAATTTAATGCAGATAAAAGTATGACAAACAATTTAGAACAACCATCGGGATTCGTTACCGAATCAAGCAAGGAAAAAGCCTTCGAGTACGGCTCAGAACCTTTATAGAACTAAGGCATAGTAGACCATTCTAAAAAAAATTCATCGTCCAATAAGATGTCTTACCAAAACTTTCAACTTTCAAAGTTATCCTGTTACAAATTAATTTTAAAAATTTTTGTCGTCGTGACTGCGCCATTTTACGATGCTAGACTTTTTTTCGTTTGTATGAATTTAAAAATTTCTCATACAAACAATTATGTGTGAAATTTTTTTTTTTTTTTTTGCTTCGTACCTTTTTGCCTTTTTACCCTTTGTGCATTTTCATTTACTTATTTATTTACTTATTTATTTTTAAAATAATAAATTTAAAATAAAAAAAAAAAATTTTTTTTTAGAAACATGGGGTAAAATAATAAAGAAATTAGAATATAGAATAATCATTTATATATGATAAACATATATCCATACATTTTGTCTAGTAACCCCAATATAGTAAACATTTATTTAAAAAAAAAAAAAATCCGCATTAATAATGAAAAAAAAAAAAAACAAATATTTAAAGTAGGAATTCTCATCTTTTTTTAAAAATTCGCGCTTTTCGAAATTTTTCATTTTTCCTTACCTCCTCCTTCCCTCACATTAAGAAAAAAAAAAAAAAAAAAAAAAAAAAAAAAAAAAGAGGGTTCTTGGTGATTCTTAGAAAGGTTATATCCTTTTTGTAGAATATTATGAAAGGAAATTTGCAAAATCCCGAGCAAATGGATGAGAATTCAATAATACACCAAGAAACGCAAATTGTTGATACCGCCGTATCAACTAATGAACTTTCGACTTCAAACATAGCGTCAAATAACGATTCAACACATTTCCATATTGTTAACGAAAGGAGGCACCACAACTTTCCGAACTGTAGGTATCCACTACCTAACGATATCGCCGAAATGAATCGCTTACGATTGGAACATGAAATGTTTCGACTTATATGGCATGGGAACTATTCCGCACCTATTGCTGACTTACTAAAGAATAACGATTCTAAAGTACTCGACATTGGGTAAACCATATATACATACATCTTGCTAAATCTACTTTTTTTTTTTATTTATTTGACAAATTAATTTAAGTTTGATGATTTTACAAGGTGCGGGACAGGAATATGGATCGAAGAGATGGCTGTTGAATTCCCTTCAACGCATTTCACGGGCATAGATATTTCGCCCATATTCCCTCAGAGAATTTCAGCAAATTGCCATTTTCAACTGTGTAATATAATTGAAGGTCTACCCTTCAAAGACAATTCTTTTGACTATGTTCATTGTCGAAATGGACTTATGGCTTTTAGTACAGAAGAGTGGATTCAAAAGGTCATTCCGGAGATGGTCAGAGTCACTAAACCGTCAGGATTTATTGAACATTGTGAGGTCGATGGTCTTCACGTAAACGAAGGGCCCATTATGAAACAAATCACGAATGCCAGTTAGTAAATTGACTCATTTCTTTAACGATTTAAGGATATATGTTTATATTTTAAAAACTCAATTCCTTGTTTTATTATATTTCTTGATTTATTTATTAGCTATGGAATTTCATGAATCCTGCGATATTGATGGCATGATTGGTGATAAATTAGAGGAAATCCTAAAAGATAATGGGAGTTTACATAATGTACATCATCATCCAAAATATAGCCCCCTTGGTAGCTGGGGTGAACATGGTAGAATGGTAATTAATCAGATTTGCAAAAAAAAAAAAAAAAAAAAAAACACCTCATTAAATCAATAAAGATTAATAACTTAAAACACTTACGTTTAGGCCATAGATAACTTTTCTCAGGTATCTTTAGCCCTTAGGGTTCAATTATCTGAAATTATGGGCATCTCGCCTACGGAATTAGACGACATCGTTAGAAGGAGCGTTATAGAAGCCGAGTCCAAACGAACGTATTTTAAAACCCATCGAATATATGCACAAAAACTTTCTTCGAAAATATGATACGAAATCGTATCATATGATACCTCCTTTTCGTGTTTTTGTATACATTTCATGTTCAATTCTTTTAAACGAAAAAATTTAGTCATACAATTTTCTCAATTAAGGAAACCCTTTAAGATCAAATAATAGTTAAGATTATACAAACACAATTTATACTGAAAGTTAGTATTTTTATGCCTTAAATATCTTCGATTCGTGACTGAAAGGGAGAAAACAAAGTTCCAATTTGATATATATTTTGTGTATATATTATATATATGTGTGTTCGTAAATAAACAATAATCCCGATCCTTTTTAAATTATATTTTGTGTTATTCGTTTCATGAAAATGGGATGGTTACAAATAACTTGCTAAAATTTTATTCGATTATTGCCAATTAAGTTAATTTCTAAATTTGGATACAATAAATAGCATTAGCGTACCCTTACAATTATATCGTTTGCAATTTTATATAGAGAGGACATTTGGGAGGTTTGCTAATAAAATCACGAATGATTTACTATGTCTACTTAATACCATTTCTTTATTTCTTTGGAAATTAATATTTCACATTTTACCTTAAAATATCTTAATTATAATCCCTAACTATGATATTAAGTTAATGATTAATGAATACTGTAAAGTATTCTCTCTTATTTCATAATTCTAACTCTCTCAAAATACGGACGTTAACGTAATGGAATCGATATCCATACGTTTTTATCTTCATTCTCAATCAAATCATTTTTTTCGATGTCGAGTAATATGATAATTTTCTACGCTAGTGCTGGTTCCCATTAGACCATCTAACATAATTGCCATTCATTCCATTATTTTGAGCTTAGCCAAATCTACAATAACTCTTTATCAATATGGAATCTGATCGTTATCTGATATTTCATTTGATTAAATGGATGAATAAATGATTTGATTTTTCAAAGTTATTATATAAACGATTCAACAAAATCCTCTGAAACGTTTATATCCAGTGACGTACATATTAACTTTTTGAGCACCATCGATGATTGGTTAAATAACAATGTTCAGGAGGACAGAAAAGTATTCGCGTTTTTATATAGACTTTTCTGTCCTACATCAACAAAAATTGTATCCATTGAATCATGAATTACCGACCTAACTAATGAACATATAAAGGTTGGAAGAGAATTTTGAAAACTGAAAAAATATTAAAAACATCAATGGATAACCGGTAGACCTATTCAATTTCGAATTGATCTGTCAATTATAACAAAATGTTAATGTGAATGATCTATATGGTGGTATTACTATATTAACAGACTTACTCGAGTCTAATTTGGTTTGTTGATAAACTTTTTGTTAGATCATTCTCCCGAATTAAGTTTTTTATAAGCTTTGGTTAAAAAAAATCATAAAGATTACTTGGGAAGTTAAAGGTTTGTTGTACTTGATAATTTAAATCATACCTCGACCGCTATATCATAAGTATTAGTTGTAAAAGTAGTAAAGTTTGAGGTTTAAGCGACCTAAAATATAAAACAACCATTAGCCAAACAAGTAGAATATTAACCTGATCCAATTGCAGGTTTTGATTTTCTTTGCATATTCAATGTTCAGAAATCACGTTCAATTTTCGTTCTAGAGTTGTTGATATCTAAGTTTTTGCTTCGATGATTCTATAAAAAATAATACATGATTTGTTACCATCTTCCATTAAAACGCACCTGCAAAACAGACCTCGACGAGGATCGATGAACGCCTGTAAGGTCAGGTGGAACACACGCACCCAGCATAGTTGTTTTGTGAGTGTTGCCCCTTTTCTCGAGAACCCACCTCTACAATCCATATGATACAGCAGAAAAATTTGCGGATCTAATGAACGTCACAAGGTGAACGCTCACCGTAACCGTAGAAGTTGTTTCCCTTCTTAGGGTCTCTATGGCAATGATGATTAATGAAAGGAAACTTATTACAAAAAAGCGTTGAAGCTGGTTGTTTTCCAACAAAATAGAGTCTGCACTTGTAAAATCTTATTGACCAATAACCGTGGTGAAATTGCCAAGCCATATTTGATCACATGTAAGTTTTTATATCCGCAAACATACTTTATAATATTTCAAAACTTATTTATACACTTATCTTTTTGTAATTTTTCTATATACATTTACCTAAAATTTAAAACCAAATAAATATTACAAGTTAAAATCAGCAATATCTAATAATAAAAAAAAAAAAACAGTAATATATAACTTAACTTTTTCTTTTATAGTTTATTTTTCTATTGTATATTTTATTCAATAATTCTACATAGCTACTGGTGATATAACTGGTAACATAATGTAAAATTAATAGAAAAAATATTTATTATTCTTTTTTTTAGAATTTTAATTCTAAGTTTACTATAATTCTTATATATAATCTTTACTTATAAATAAATGTAAAAAAAAGTTCATAAAATAATAAATATAATTATTAAAACTAACATTAATACTTTAGCACAATTTTATAAAATTTATAATTCAAGATGTAATTATTACTAAATTATAGTATAATCTTTTTTTTTTTTAAAAAAAAAAAAAAGCAAATTCGCAATAATAAATTTTAAAATTAAAATAAAAACTTGAAAATATATTGTAATTTAAGTAAATAAAAATTTATATATTTTATTAAAATCTTATTAAAAAAATTATTTAAAAAGTAAATTATATTAAATATTTATTAAATAACTTATAAACTAAAGGTAAAAATATTTAAAGTTAATTATCTTAAAATTTACTTAATTATTTAAAGTGATTAATTATACTATATTATTAAATTTTATTTATTATCTGCAAGTTTTTTTAAAAATTACTTTTATTTTTAATTAATCTCTAAAATATACTATTTTTATATTAAATAATTCTTAAAAATATATAATATAATTTGATAATTATTTTATATAATAATGAATGCTTTATAGTAGAAAAAGAAATTACAAAAAAAAAATTTTTTTGAATTAATATTAAATCTGAATTTATTTTAATAGAAAAATAATATTTAACTTATAAAATAAAAAATTATTTTGGTAGTTTCCTTTCTTTTTACTGCAAAGCGTTCAAATCATAATCTTTTTTTTATATCAAATAATTTAAATATTTTTCTTTTATTTATAAAAAGGTTTTATTTTAACAAATATATTTTTTTAATTATTTTGCTTTTTTAATTGATAATATTATTTGTTTAACTGTTTTACCTACAAATTTATAGGCAATTTTATTTATTAATTACAATCATTTTTAATTATTTTTAAATATTT